CGTACCTGCCCACGAGAGAGACAGAGCGAGAAAGAAGAGACACAGAGTGAGAGGGTGAGTGAGAGAGAGAGTGAGAGAGAGAGTGAGAGAGAGAGTGAGAGAGACAGAGAGAGGAAAAGAGAAAGAGAGACGGACGATAAAATGTACGAAAAGGTAGACGAGATTCACCCCTCGCCACATGAACGTTTCCATCCAACTGAGGGGGCGGGACAATTGATTGCTGTTTGAAACTAAGCACACGCCGGGGCGGTACCGCCAGCGATTTGTTTCGCTTTCACGATGAGTAATGTCCCCGGCCCAATAAAAGCCTCGCCTCGCGGTCGCTAATAGCTTCGCGCGACTGTCTTCGTCGAGAGAAGGAGCGAGCGAGTGAGCGAGAGAGAGAGAGAGAGGCACACTCAGTTACTCAGTCCCCCCGCAGTGCGTTGCTCACGCGCTGACAAACGCTCAGCGTTAAGCAAATCATGTGGGCGGGTGGATAAGTGAGCTGGCCGCTCGTCGCGCCGCACGCGAGCCTCGCCCGCGAGAATTTAAAAAGTTGCGGGGCGAGGCCTGGGTGTTAAAAGGTAAAAATAAACGCATCTTATTGCGACGGCGCGCCACAACGCAGACGATTTTGATAAGCATCTCGACAGGACAGCAGGTTGGAAATTAGACAAATGCCTGCACAGAGATGATGACAAATACCCAAATCCTCGTCGCGTCGCCCGGCTCCCGCTCACGCCCACTACTAATGGGTGGTTTTCGTGATCGACCTGCTGCGGGGGGCGCGGCAGATGACCGCGGCCGCTAACAGCTGCACCGTGTCCTACACGCGGCGCGCGGTGTATTTAAAAAATCTCCCCAATCGATGTAAACAAAAGCGATTTTTATCAGCCAAAGAGAAAGAGAGAGTAAGTCAACCTTCACACGCGAAACGAACGCCACGCGTCGTCGGCGGCGGGGACAGCCAGGGGGAGGATGGTGCCAACGAGGGGCAGTGGTGGAGGCCCGGGCCGCTCCACCGCCCCCTATCCTCCTGCCCATTTGTGGCACGGTGGCAATTAAGGTGCGCGGGACAGAGACGCGGCACGAGTAATTGAATCCTATTTGAAAAAAATGCAAAAAAAAACAACAACAAAAAAACAGGAACAAACAACGAGCACGAAGTTGTCTTTACATAAACACATCGGCGGTCATAAGGGCGACGACACAGAATGCGAGCGCGGGTGGTCGGGTCGGGCTCCTCAGGTGGTCTGGTCCC